TTTATTCTGCCCTTCCATTCACTCCTCTCTTCCTGTCTCTCACATTCAGCAGTGTGGGCAGCAGGTCCGTTCCCTCAGCCCCCCTGGGGAGAAGCAAATCCCTGAGGAGGAGTGTAACAAGTCTCTCTCTTTCTGAGTGTGCAGTATCTGGGAGATGGGCTGTCCTCCAGTCTTTGTCAAACAAACCCGTACACACACACACACACACACATATACACACACATATACAAAGAGAAACGGGGCAGTTCCTATCAGGCTCTGTGAGACAGATTCTTCCTTAAATGAGACAGAACAAAAAACATGTTACTGATACATATCCCTTTTACAAACTATTCTAGACATTTCTGAAGCTGGTTGCAATTTCAGAAAACTTTAGGAAGATGTGTTGTTCTGTCTTGTAAAATGTCTCTTGAGCAATTTAACCAGCCAATATGTGACCATGTATTCTGTTGACAGAAAAGAAGCAAAAAAGAAAACACAAGCATATTTTTCATACCCGCTGCTATAAAATACTGTTAATGTGATGCATCTTGCATGCATCTGACTCATTTAAAGTCAGAGAGAATCAACATGGGACCCAACATGTAGCTGTGTTAATGTTACAAAGGTCAAAGTGTAAAGAGAACTGGTTCTTTACTTGCAGTCAGACATTTAGGGTTGCCATATGAGGCAAAATGGCTTTTCAAACACACAAAAATCCTATGTGTGTGTGTCTGTGTGTATTATTCATCCATGGGTGATGTACTGTGTGAGCAACTAGTCCACAGCAGAAGCTATCACATTTGCACACCGCAATTGCATGTGCTCTTGTCCAGGTGGCTTATCATTGCGCCGCACCGCCAGAATAAAGGGTTAATATCCCCGAGCCAGCCGTTAAGTTAAAAAAGAATAATTTAAGATATCTACTTATTTGCTTATTTCCCTCATGCCTGTAGGCTTTAAGACAAGCTCAATTCAGACTCAGGCACATGACTGTTGAATCGGCTTTGTTTGGGTGCGCTGCTAGCTTTGTCTCGAGTACACACTGATTTAAAAAAAAAAAAAAAAAAACATAATAGAAGCCCAGTTTTTAATTGCAGGCATGCAGAACTACTCATGTTATTTCAGACAAATGCCAAAAGGAATTTGGTGTTTTTTCTGCTTCCACTCAAGTGATATTTAAGAGAGGGCTGTCTGCAGAGATGCAGGATAAATGCAGGCTGGTTATGACTTTGATGTTTCACATTTGTCAAACACTGAAAACCATTCAGCAGCACTTGCTTGCTTGCATGGGGGTTATTGTGTTGCTAGTGTCTGCCTTGCGTCTACCTTTTCCAATACGGTTGGCTACTTAGCACCACAAAAAAGAATGACCAGTAGATTTACTCTGCAGCCAGACACACACACACACACACACACACACACACACACACACACACACACACACACACACACACACACACACACACACACACAAACGTAATCTTGCCAGAGCAGAGTCTATCAGTCAATGACATGACCCAGATGAAAAGCCAAGGTCTCTGGGCTCCCTTGAAAGACAAGGCTACTATTACAGCAGACAAAAGAGTGCTGAAAGTGAAGGAAAACCAGGCGCTGATTTATCAGCACTGATAGAAAAGTCCCCACCTTCATTTCTGGTCTGACCTCATATCGAGGGGTTACCAGTGCAGAAGTCCCAAACAGCTGCAGTGCGTGTGGGTTGCACTGCTGCTCATGACTGCCTGTTGCAAACAGATGTAGTTCAAAATGGTTCACTTTTAAACCTTTACATACAAATGATTCATTTTCCAGCCAGAAATAAAAGGTGAACCTAATGTGAGGGAACATAGAGATCCATGCACTATTTAACCATTTTAAACGGGAGAGTGAATTTGGGCTGCAATCTGTTTGTCTTTTTCTCAAATCTGTTTGTGTACAAATCATAAAAACTGAAAAAAAACTATGGATACTGACAATAATTTGACCATAAAATATGTTTGATTCAGTTCATCTTTATTACATATTGGGCAATAATGCAGCCCCTCAGGTCATCTTCTACCTGAAACAAGCTTGTTAACCCTTCCCATTTAACCCTCTGAACTGTAAATCATCATAGGTGTTGATGCTAGCCCTACCCATACTCTAACCTCATATTCTGAGGTTTTCTTTGTTCCCTGATTTCCAGCTCAACAAAAAAATCTGCTTGCCTGGAATTAGAGGTAGGGCTAGCGTTAGGGTTTTCTTTGATGATTATACTTTCTATATTTGCAAGTCCATTAGAGGGTCTGAGTTATGTAAATTTTGTCATTGGGCGATGAGGGTCCATGCGGACCACATGCTTCCTTGGTTTTTGTGACCACATAGACTTGTCTGCGGAGAATTTCCGTTACAATGGACAAACTACACATGCTCCCCGGGTGGTGGACTTCAAAGAAATATAACAGAAATGACTACTCTGCAATCAGGTCTCCAGCTGTCTGCAGTGGAGGAAAATCAAGGCTTTAGACTTCTGAAGGTTAAAGGTCCTGATCCTATGCTTTACAGGCCCAACTATCAACGTGGGAACATAAATCCCCCATGAGGCCACCCCACCCCTTTGAATCCAGGTTTCTTCTGATTGGCTGTCCCTCACTAAAAGAACATTTGAACTCCAGGTGGGTGAGGCTGTTGCGCTCACAACCAGATCTGTGTGGCTGATGTGAGCATCTTACATATATATACACATATATATGTGTGTGTGTAATTGCTTAGAATCAGAATACTTTAATAATCCCTAAGGAAATTATGGCAAAATTATGGAAAGCATTTTCAGTGCTCAGAGTGAGTAGGAAAGTGCTATACTAGCCCATTTATATAGAATATGACTGAAAATTAGGAAACGCACAATAAAAATACCCTTAAAAAAATTAGCTGCCACCTAATTAACTAACAGATTAACATTTTTAGGTCTCTGCTCTATGTAAACGTATGCAAATGTAAATTTTACAAAAGACAAAAATCCTGTTTATTGTATAACAGAGACTACAACATAGCAACACTGCACTCCACTGTATATGTTATAGTGGCGAATCACTGTTCAGTGAGCTCATTATTGTATGTTTCAAGAGGGACCGCTCTGTGAAATTGGCTGCACACATGGCCAGACACATTAATGATTGCTTTAGAAATGAGAGGAAGCATCATTTTAACACAAGGTACAGACTCAAATCTCCAAGCCTATTCATTTCATACTAACGGGAGCGTGTAAACCTTCATCACACTAAGCCGATTACAGGCTGGAGGAAGAAAGGGCATGCTAACACGTGCTTCTGCGCTGAGCAGACAACAAATCTAACGTGATGTAAACAGCAGATGGAGTCGTCATAAATTATGGACAGGAGGGAAAACATAACTTATACAGACTGATCCCGATAAGCTTTTATTACAGTTAGAATCCGGCAGGATGTGGACTGTGGATGTGACTAACTTCCACACTCAGCATGTACACACCTAACATGAACTGAATTTCTTTGGAGTCTTGTGGTTCCTGCATCCTTCTAAATTATATTTGTCTCCTTTGACTGACCTCCTCCTCTCCTCTTTCTTTACACTCTTCTCCTGCCTTCTGTGCTTCTTACAGTCCACTCACATGTCGGGGTTCTTAAGACTTTTCTGGGGTTCACACCCGTCTGCGATATTGACTGGCCTTAAACAAACCACATAGACACTCACAAGCCTGTCGGCCAGTCTAAACAGAAGAAAGGATCTCCAAGCAAACACCACAGAATGTGTAATAAACAGTCAAACTATTACAGAGGTCATTTGCAGTATGGATTAGAGCAGCGGTCCCCAACCCCCGGGCCTTGGACCGGTACCGGTCCGTGAGTCGTTTGGTACCGGGCCGCGAGAGTTGAGGCTCAGGTGTAAAATGTATGGTTTTCAGGGTTTTTATCGGTTTTTAGCGTTATTTTGTTATCGTTTTTTCGTTAACTCGATTTTCCTGGGTCTTTGGGTCATGTGTTATGAATAAATCTTCTTTTTTTCGGTACCGGTACTAGTTTTATTTTGTTGTATTTATCCGCGACACCTTAAAGGCCGGTCCGTGAAAATATTGTCGGGCATAAACCGGTCCGTGACGCAAAAAAGGTTGGAGACCGCTGGATTAGACAACCCGATTTAGAGATTATACCTGTAGCTCTGTGGCTGTTTAGTTGTGGCCCATTTTTATACTCATATCTTCTTAGATATGTCTTAATATACACTTTAAACTGCTGCTCAGAGATGGTATTATTTTAATCTGTTACACAAAAGGTTAAGTATTATGACAAACTTCACCTTCATGACAATAAAATGTGTTGTATTGATTGAGTGAAACCTTGGAAAGCCATGTGAGGTCAATCTAGCTAGACCAGTTGGCCACAGGCAGTGCTTCTGTGTTTGAAGCATGACGGCTCACTAACAGTCCTGAAATCTACGGTCTCAGAGCAACAGCATGATGGAGGGCGAGGCTGTTCTCTGTCTTATTTTATGTTACGCTCACACAGTAATTGACTTTCATGCTCACACGCCACAAGCTAGAAATACAACACTGGAACTGCCAGCACTGAGGTCAAGAGACGCAAGACAAGGAGGCAGACACTGTGGACAACAGCGCTCTCTAGTGTTAGCAAACAGAGTAGGAACTAAAGAATAAATAGAGTCCAGGCACAATGCATACGAGTAGGTATGTGAGGCGATATGAGATGGTGAATAGCAAATTTAATGCTAACTATAACAGCTAGGAGAGAGTAAAATTATTTTACAGGTTCTTTTTTAATACAAAAGGAAGCTCAGTGAAATTAATGTCATGCAAACTAGCAACTGATGGGAATTCCTTGCTGCTTCCTGTATCTAATCTGTGGTCACGTGACTTCAGATATTTGCATCGCTCACCATAAAACAGGATATTACATTTTTGGCTCAGACGGTCAGCACAGAGATAAACGCACAATGGGAAACCTGCAGGTTTTTGTGATAAGGGTGCAGAGAATAAGGGATCTCACCTGGTACGATCTCAAACAGGTGCCTTCCTGGTTCGTCTGGATTAGCTGTGAGTTCATTGACCAGGCATCCCTGCAGTGGTATACAGCCCTGAAACGTACAGGAAGAAGCTTTCAAATAGTTTCCCACCACAGAAGCATCGATTTCCTTTGTCTTTTCTCCACTTTCACTAGTTTCTCGACTTTTTACTTATATTTTACTGTAACTTTCCAGAAAACTGGCTAAAGAAAGAAAGAAAGAAAGAAAGACAAATATGAGGAGCTGGGCACACTGAGATAAACACTTGTGGTTTGGAGTGACCGTGACCTACAACATGACCTGTGATGGATGTAAATTTCCTGGCTTCTGTGACGAAACACTCGGTCAGTTGGTAGTTTATGAAAATCTTATTTTAACAGGTAACCTTATCTATGGCCAATGTTTAGGATGCAAATGAGTCCAAGCCTGTGATAAAATCTGTTTTTGTGCCCCACTTGACTCCCTGCATTGGTGACACCCTCTCTCGAGCTCTGCATTGATTATTGGTGTCCTCTGTTTTCAGTCACCTCTGCCAACGTGTTATCACAGCTTCCAAATAGTTTGCTTGTGGTCTCTATTCCTAACTAAACTCTCAGTTATTCTGGCAGGATATGGTGGAAACTCCAGGCTAATTTTAAGATCATTTGACAGACAGGTACAGCTAGTACCTGCGTAACCCTCTGAGGTCTAAACCCAAACCTGTGTCATGTTTTCAAGGGTTATGGTTTAACTCTGTTAGGTCTAAGTCATCATTGATGATCTTTTTAAGTTGAAATTTGGCACGCCATTTGGAATGATATTAAGACTGAGGGTACTCCCATTAGGCAATCCAAAGTGTGGCCAAGCATGCTGGACCAACAGTGCCCGATTCTTTTGGGATTGCTGCAAATTGTGCTTGGGCAAGTGTGCCATGCCCTGACCTGCTCAAAGAGGCGTCCCTGGCTGATTGATCTGGAGTGATTGACCATGTCTAAGAAAAGATCTTCAGTCCTTTGTCAATAACCGACTCTGCAAACCTGAGGACTGGGTGTGACTGATTCCAAAAGCAGCCCCAAATGAACCACAAAATAGCGCACAGAGTTACTCGGATTCTGCAAGATTGCCTGTTTTTGCCATTACATCGTAATAAAATGTGTGCATGACGGGCTTGAGTCTGACTTAGTTGCCTACTCTCACCCCCCCACCTCCTGTTTCCTCCCTCCTTATTACTCACCTCTTAGCCCCTCTAAAAATTTAAGCAGCTACTCCTGTGATTGAACAGGGACCCACACAGATTATCAGAATACATTATCCAGATCAATACCCATTTAGCCCCGAGAACTTAGGGCCAAGTGAGCTGTGAAGAGATGCCAGCGTCTGTAGGTCGGCCCCGTTAATCTCCACACTGGCATCCTCCATCAAACAGGCAGAAGAGTCTGCCAAACAGCCTCAGCCTGAGGGCCGGGCTGTCGCCAGCATTAGTCGCCATGGCAACAAATGGAAAGGGGTGGAAGCTGTGGATGGATAGAGCACAGGGGCAGGGCAGGATGGGTGTCCCAAGGGTGCTATGTGCTCAGAATAACACAAGTAGCTGGCTGGGGATGAATGACTAAGAAAAGGCAACACGTAACCCGAGAACACAAATCACGCAGAAAAGTAGGCTAGATAGCACTGTTTGTCCTTCCCTGCATTTTAACCAATGATACGGGAACTGTGCGCACATGTAAGAGCTTCAAAGCAGCTGCAAACAGATGCGGCCACGCCTACTTTAACCTCGTTTGTACACGAATGTCAGTCAGTTATTATTCTAGCCTGGCCTCTCGAGGTTTGTTCACACTTTTATCTCACGTTGGCAACAGTGCAACATGAACAGCTAGCGCATTGTTACTCATGGACATTACGCAGTGCTGTTGATCGGTACCGTGTGTCTAGATCTGGACCTGAAGCACCCCAGACTCGTCCTGTTTGGCGCGTGCCATGCCCAGGTCTATAGACGCACGCCTCTTAAAAGTAATCGGTGCCAGAAGTGGACGTAAAGCAAGAAACGAAGGAGCAGTAAAGAATTACTGGAACAGAAAGCCATGTACAATGCTGATGCTGCCAAGGTTTCGGAGCACCATAATGTCAGGCTGAAAAAATCTAAAATCATATGAAAGCAGTAAGTGATGGGGTTGGGCATGAATCAAATCAAAACAAAACCAAATATATAAACTTTAAGTTTAAGCTGTTTTTAAGCTTTTTTTGTTTATTTTGTCAAAGGTTTTGTGTATTACAACCAGAGTCATGGTTGTGTGATGGTGGTGCCCTTTGTGTACCGCCAGATAACTGGACTCTGTTTGTTCAGCAGTGTATTCCACCCCCCCAGACCAACACACACGATGAAAAGGAAAACCCCCATAGATCCTCATCCAGCGCTGCCTTCCCTGCTACCAATTATCACATCCTTTCATCTTGGTAGTGGGGCAGTCATGTTCTGTTCGCAACACCCTCCCCACCCACACCTCCACCCCCGACCACACTCCCAGCCTCGGGTTTCCTATTGATTAAGAGATGAGAGGGTTAAAAAAAAAGGCCAGAATCACAGTTTCTCACACAACTCAGAGGGTGTGCATGCATGAGTGGGTTTGTGATGGTGTGTGTGTGTGTTGTGTGTGTGCGCGTGTGCAGTCAGCCACACACTACATGTGACTTGAATCCCTTGGAAGTTGCGAATCAATATGAGCTGGATGAGTATTGGCAAGCTCTGATTAAAGACTGTCATTTTTTCTCCTCAAAATTGGAGACAGAGAAGTGTGGAACACGTCATTGTGTGTGTGTGTGTGTGTGTGTGTGTGTGTGTGTGTGTGTGTGTGTGTGTGTGTGTGTGTGTGTGTGTGTGTGTGTGTGGGCATCAGTCAATCATGAACCTTCTGTCTTTTATTGTTGGATTACATCACTCCTTGTTGCATCTACAACTAAACCTATTAGCTTCACTGAATCTCCACCTAAAAGTATTCGATATAAGTGTGTGTGTGTTTGTGTTTTGTAGGAATGCAGAGTGGGAAAATGTGAGTCAGCTGTTTGCCACAGTTCAACAAAGAAGCAATGGGATTGATTGGAGGTTTACTCTGTAGACAATTTTACAATGATGTACTAATGCAGTAGGAAGACAGGCGTCACACGCTGCCCTGCTGTTTGTACTAATGCACTGAAGCGTCTGCTGAGTGTGGTGAGTTATCATTACAGCTGAGTGTTTTCATGTTGGTAGCGGTCACTCATTGTACATAATTAGCTCCAAGCCTTGATGTTTTTAACTATGAGAACCATGAGGAGGCAGAATTGGAATTTGTTACTTACTTACATGTAAATGTAAAAAAATGAGGTGTTTAGCAAATATAAATAATAATATTGGATAAATATAAGCTTTAAGAATGTGCCTTATTGCACTCTGCACTTTTATTAGTCATTGTTCAAGTTTTTAGGGATAAATAGGGATAAATGTTTTTTCTGCGTATCTTCAGTGTGTCTTTGATTTATTACTGTTAGTTTATTGCTTTATATTTATTGCTTTATTCAAATGTAATCATTTGTAGTGGCAGTATCTGCCTAGTGCAGCTGCATAAGGTGCTCAAGAAGAAGTGATATTGATATATGTTGTTATATGTTGCATTTTTCCCACCCCTAAAGAAATGTTAAAAATCTGAAAATGAAATACTGAGCCACATATAATGTTACCCACATATATGTGGGTAACAGACATCTCCAAAAACGTTGGCGCACTTATATATGTGATGTCTTCATAAATCGAGCAGTTATTTGAAATTTACACAGCTACATTCTTGCCTGAAAATATCTTAAAAGTTTATTTTGTGACCCAGAAAGAGTAACATTAAAACTAAGTAGCCTGTTTACTTCATAAACCTCTCTATTGCCCCCAAGTAGCCAATAAATGGAATGAATGAATGTTTAAGGTGGGTTTAAGTCCAGTGCTCAACTGTAGAGTGACTTAAAACAAGCAGATTTCTCACAGATGGGAATTAGGATAATTTTTTCTTGAGGTAATGGCTCAAAGTGCTGTTTGGCAAAACTGCAATCAGTTCCAATGATACAGAAAAAATGTTTGGGAACAAAGTCGTTTACAGAGATGACGTCAGAGGAAAACAGGGCTTGCTCGAGAGTACTTAGGGATCAACAAGAGTTTCTTTAATTCTCTGCCGCGTGAGCTGCTCATGCTTTGATTTGAAAGACCTAAATTAGTTTTTTCCCCTTCCCTCACTCAGACACTCAGACTGAACAAAAGCTTCAGATCAAATCATTTACATGAAGGTTTCTCATGTATTCAGCTGCACATTAAACTCCATATGTTTGAGCTGCATGACTCAGCTGTCCCGTCCTCCAAAAGGAAGCTGCACCTCATTATGTAAATATAATCACGCCGGCCAAAGAGCAGTGCTCCAGCTTTTAATTTCGCCACCCTCTGACTGTTTTCCGTTGTGTGTGAACGTGGCTGAAATATTACCTGCGGTTTGGTTTCTTCCTCGTCTTTGTAGAAGTAGAGCTGGTCCGAGCGCAGCACGAACCAGCGCAGCTGCCAGTTCTTCATGATGCTGCGCTGCTTCTTCAGCCACCCCGCCTTCAGAGCCCCCTCGTGGAGGCTCGGGGAGGCTGGGCGGCACGATCCTCGCGACACCTCGCTCATCACCATGCTCTTTGACCTGGCTGATGACACATACACAACACACAGCATATTTTTTAGGCTTATACACAAGCAGCTGAAAGCAAAGGATATTGTTTGTTTTGATTTATTTACCATTTGTCTTATTGTTTGTGTTCTAGTAGGTGTATGTTGTCCCTCTTTTTTTATCCTGAATGCACATAGTGCTCTACCAGGGGCTTTAGTCATGACAGCCTTTTAACCCAGGCTGCTCCACATAAAAGGGAATGGGACTGCAGAGAGGCAGCAGACACAAAAACTAAGGGGAAAAACACACACACACCCACACAGACCCACACCATGCATAGCCTCGGGTGACAGGGATACCCCCCCTTCAATTTCAGAGGTCCTTGGAATAGACTTATTGTGCAGAGGTACAACCCAGCAGAATAGCTGAGGCTTTTGAGCTCAGATAATAGGACCACATGGGACTGACTGGCTGACTGAATGCTCCTCAATAAATGTGTGTAACCTGAGCTCAAGTCAAAGATGGGTTTTAAAAGGGAGTGTGTGGCAGCTTTATAGCTACCGAGGTACTCAGATTTTCCTGGTATGACATCAGCGGTTAAATAATGTCATTTTTGTAGTTATTGCACGGACATTTAAATAAAACTTCTGTAGACATAAAGGAGCGTGACTCTACACTGAGGTGTGTTTTCATCAGACGCTAAAGGATACATTATTTTTACACACTTACAAAAAGGTTTGGCACAGATAAATAAACCTGGGGCAAACTAGTGAAAGGCTATTTGATGATCATGTATTATTTAGAGCAATCAATTCTGCTGACATCCTCCCTGCTGGTGTGTGTTCTTTGCCCCCCCACATACCTCAGACACACACACACGTATACATGGAATCGATGGCACTGAGGCATGGAAGGGGAAGAAAATCAATTTTTATTCTTTTTTATTGTCCCACATCTTTACCTTCAGCCTATACATTGAGCTTAACGAACATGGCTCATATCATTTTTATTGCACATTACAGCCTGTTTTGACACCCTGAAAAGCCTGTTGATTCTGACAGACGTGGTGTGGCCCACTATTTTTTTATGCAAACTGGGTCCAGGCTTGCTGTGGAAACCTCTTTAATATATATCAGTAATATATATTCAGTAATATATTACCTTAAAGTGGTATCTTTTTTCCACTCTGTGTCTAATGCTGTCCTGTCTGCATTCTTTAATAAGAAGGTTTTAGAGAGCACACAAATGCTGCCTAAACTGCAAGAATAATTTGCTAGTGCAGCTGTGACTTTAACTTGGTTGGATTCAGTTTGAAATTTGCTGAATATGGTTTGAAATTTGCTTCAGTGTGTGGCTTTCATTATGATTGTGCAATTTAGCCTTTTTGCCAGTGACCAAGCATTATTCATGTTCCCTGGTTTCAACAAAGAGTGGTGTCATATTACCCTTTTTGTTTAATCCAGCTTTTCATTGTTAGCTTGCTCCTTTATTCTGAATGTTTGTGCAGATATTTGGAAAACACTGGCGGCAGATACAGAGTACTGCATCGTGGTGCTAGTGTTTGGGCTGCTGCTCAGGGCATGTTTAAAGGTGTAATATGTAAGATAATAATATACAGTCTATTAACAGCAACCCACAAGGGAGAGCAGCTTATTACTAGAATGCTTTTGTAGTGGTATACTCCACTATTGTAGAGTAAAGTAAGGTAAGCCTTCTGGTCAGGTGACTGTAATCACCTATGACTTCAGTTTTTCCCAAAACACTAAAGATTGGCACGAATTCACGTATTGCTCTAGATGGTTTTCTTTCAAAAGACTCTTGAAGTCATGGAGAGTGCCTCTAATTGGGATTTATTTATATGGTCACATTGACACATGACTCATGAGGAAAGATAACCAGTTTAGGGATGGGGAGTGAATCTGAGGGCTCAGTAGAGCCAGAGCCACTGACTAAGTAACATTTTCCCATTTTCCATTTTAATATGAAGTGACGTTTTCCTTTATTTCATGTTTTCATACATGGAACACTCTTTTTCCACATCTCTGTTTAGACAGTTGCTCTTGCAAAAGAAGGAATCAGATGCATTCAGTCTGTCAGTACCGACCCACAACTTACTGAGGAGGATAGAGGCAGCGTTGCTAGTTAAACATAAAAATAAATACCTTTTTTGCAAAGAGCCGTCTCCTTTGGCTGCCATTAATAACACAAGCTCATCATATGCAGTGTGGGCAGTGCTACCCATGGACTCATTATCACCTCTTAAGCTACGAAGACAGATTACAAGGGTCTGGTTGGGACTAGCTGCTTGTTATGGGTCAATATTTCTGCAACGTTATGCAAGACAACTTTGAAATTTGGTCAGACTCTTTATTTCTCCACATTCTGCTGTTGAGTTCATTTTGAATCATTTTAAAGTAATTATAACATATTTTAAAAAGCTTTAATATCAGCAGACTCACCTCTCTTTATGATTTACCTCTCTCCTCTAGATTGGCTTTCTTTCTTTTTCACTGCTAACAGTTCCCGTCTCCCCTGGCTCTTTATTTTCACTCCTCTGCCCGACACCCTCCATTTCTTGTACTTTGACTCGCTCTAATTCTTCTCGTCTTTTGAATCAAAGAGCACCCAGCGCACATGCATTTAAAGGACAGTTTTGTTATCAAACTGGCACGGTAACTAATTTTTGAATTACAGCTAAACTTTAATTGGCTGCATATAATCTTTTACATGTAAAATAATTTTCATTTTTCATGAGAAGTCAATTTGAAGCACTGCAAAGCATAGGGTTATCTGTTATTGTTTTGAACAAGAGACTCTTCTGCAGCTGGCTTTTTCTCTAACCAGTTAATATTTAGCAGAAGAAGCATAACTTGAATCTCTCTTATATCATTTTACTTTGTAGATCTCTAGTTTTCTTTTGAATCCTAAGCTATGCTTTCCTTAGCTGTCACTATTCTTTGATGTTTTGGTTGTCCAGTGTTGCCTTGACTACACAAATGTGATAGCACAACCCCTGCACAGATCAGCTGGATATTTCGACATGGTGAAGTGTCTCATGTGGGCAGCATCAGCGGTGTAAACAAATCAGTCTTACCCTGACTGGGATCATCGCTACAACTAACAAATTGCAGTTGTATTGCAGTTGTGTAACTCACCTTCCCTGTCCTTTTTAACACCTCTCCTTTTTCGCACCACATCCCGTCCCTCTTGCCTTTCCATCGCTCCTCAACCTGCCGCTGCTCCCATAAAAGAGGACCACTGTTCAACACATAAGCTGCCTGGATCTTGGACTCAATGGAACATACGCAGGGCGATGATTCACGCCTGACTCACAACTGATTTTTGATTTGTGTGTGTGTGCATGTGTGTGTGTGTGTGCGTATCAAGCACAACTACCCACTGTGCCAATTTGGACCTTCTATTCAGAGTGATTCAGACGTTCCTTGGTTTGGGTGGAGCTGGTCTGTGGTCACTTCTACAACTATCAACTACAATGAAGGAAAAAAGGCCATTTTGCTGTAAAAGTGCACTTTATACACAATCACTGCAATTCAGTGTGGTTATGGAAGCGCTGAGTCAAATTGCAAGGGCTCATCATCATGGATGACTTTGTGCAGTACAATATACCCATTATTGTCCATCATGACTTCTCTGATGATAACTTATGTAACTGAGAGAATGCATCATGTTATTTCACTGTCACGGAATAATTGTATGTATATCAAGGAATACCTGATGGATTGGCTACATATCCAGTTACGATATCATGAAAATTGAAGCTGGTTAAAAGGAAATTGTTAAAAAAAAAGGCCATATACTGTAGATCACTTTAAAAAACATATTTTTTGTGCTATTTACCAATAATTATATTTATCTGTCCAGTACACTACACCCCTGAGTTACAATCAAGAGTCTAAAATGTAGAAAGCTGTTGTAGCTTATTAGCTATATGCTTTGTGCTTTTCAAGACCAATTAGTTGTACAAATGTGCCTTTTGACCAAACTTACCATTCAAAGCCCCAGAAACAAGCTGACTAAATGATAGCTAAGTCAGCTAGCTTAAAAATTAAAGCACAGAAAGCTAATGTGACTGACTACTTCTAGCATGTTCTTAGATTACAGTTGTGTTAGCTTTTAGCTCAGCAGCTACATTAGTTTACCAACTAGCCCAGTGAGTAGCTCCTAGGTCAACAAGCCTCTAGCACTAGCAACTAACATTAGCGACTTCAAGTCAAACAAGTACAGGGATGTAAATACATTAGAAGTTTTTTTTTAAGCCAGGATAGTCCACTAGCAGCCATCAGCTACAAACTGATGTGGAACCTTTCCTTTGGTTCATGTCAAATAAAACGAGGTTACTATGATTACTATTAGATATTAGTAATGCTACTACTGAAACTCATTCTTCTTTCAAAGTGCTTTGGCCCAGTAATGTCATGAGGACTGATACTTACGATACCAACATTCAAAAAAGGAAACAGTACTTATTTTATTTAGCACCGCAGGCATCCCCAAGGCTGCAGTTAGGGTTGCCAATTGTCCTGTTTTAGCCGGGACATGCAGTATAATGAGCAAAACTGGTGCATCCCTTATATTAACTAAAATGTCCCGTTTATTGATTGTTACCTGCAACGTCACTTTCTGACCAACAGTTGGCACTCTTACAAATACCAAATATGATTTGACCGTAATTATATCAGATGAGTGCTTGTGTCCAGTCACAACTGATGTGAGGAGTAATATGTGAGTCATAAAAATACGGTGCCATTTGGTCTGCTTAATAAACTGAGTAATTGAAACCTGTATTTACAGTATTTTGTTTGATCATTTTTCTTTTTTTCCCATGTGATTTCTGTCATTTATTGTTTTAGATGAGGTATTGATTATGAACATACAGTGCATATTTACACTATGCCCAGCTAGCTGTGCACTGTGTTTCTGGCACACCAGAGTGTCAGTTTGCAACCCTAGCTGCAACTCTTCTGTGAATTTTAGTCTATCCTTACATGCTAAGGAATCATGTAAGGAAGTACTTTG